GTGGCACTGGAAGGCTGTCAAATTGGTCAATAACTTCACTTTCCCCATTTCCATAACTACCCACTCTTCTTTCTTCTCCGTCGTCGTTTCTCCCTCTCTTGATCAATCATTACCATACATCCTTCCTTCCATACCCATCAAGACCACTCTTCAAGGACAAGCCATAATTAATGAACCCTCATTTATCCAGCTTACATATGTGTGTTTAATAAGGAGCAGTGTGAATCAAGGAAACCAGCATCAGACCAAGCCGAGAGGCAGGGGGGCTTTCGAGTCTGATTTAAGAGGGTTCCTAAGAGCCCAGATGGGTCCACAAACCAAAACCACAACGAGGTAAGTGCCAAAATCACTCACCGCACTAAAATCTCCCTCACTGTTGGTCACCTATCCCCGTGCACCACCGCACGCGGTTTGCCAAGGGAGCGGTCCCCGACCTTGAGTCAAACCTATACACCATAGAGTTGTGGTTGCATAATGTTTGTGTGATTTTGGACTAGTCTCTAAGGGAAAACTTGTAATCATAGGATTGTGTCCCTTGCCTATTGGTTGACTTTGGTAACCCAATCGTGAACCACTACAGTAGTTTGTGAGTTATGAGAACTACTAGAGTGATCAGTGGGTCATAGGAACTGCTAGGTCAATTTGAAATAGCAAGCGTAGATTATAGTCTACAGTAGAAGATAGAGTGTTGTAGCGATATTATAATTCCTAAACCTAGTTGGATTTGATTCCCATCAAAATTATTTTGAATTAGTTATTTTGATGTTAAATGATTTTTGGATTGATTATTTGAATTTTTGTAAGTCTCTGGATATTTTATTTTATAAAATGGATTTACAAATTAAGAGATATTGAATTTTCAGTATTTAAATATTCAAAGTGAAATAAAATTTATTTTCAATATTCTAAAAATCATTTTATGAATTTTATAATTCACTAATTATATGGGGCCTACCATGAGCTATGGGCCTATCATGAAATAAAACACATGAGAACACCTAGGGCGGCACACCCCACCCAAATTGAATCATACTTTCTATTTTGTGATGAAGCAACCAAAGAATGCAAATCAAGTTGAAATAATATATATTGTTTTGAAATAATGGAGGCTTGATTTCAATCATATATTATATGTAAGAGGATTATGGAAAATAACATAAAATATAAAATTATTTTTTATTCTTTATTATTTAATGAGAATTAGGTTTAAGAAGTTTTAGCACTTTCCTTTGAATAATGATAGTTGATTTAAGGATTGGATAGCTTAGATCTCTCACCCCACATCTCTTATATGATCAATAGTCTAGATTTAATCTCTATACCCTAAAAAACCCTAATCTCCTGAAAACTCTATAAATAGTGGCTCTCCCATCTCATTCTACTCTCATCTCTCTCTACTCTCTCTTACCTAGGTTGGCATGCCACCCTAGGGTTTCATCTCTCTCTCATCCAAAAGATCTTTCTCCCCTCTTTAGACTTTAGAAAGAGAAAGGGGACACGCTCCACTTAGGTCAAGAAAGGGGCATGCCATGTGAACATTAGTCATAAATCTTTAAAAAATGATAGAATAAAATGCACATTTATTTTAAAATCCCCATAAGAACCAAAGAAAGGTTTCAGTTTTTGTGTAGTAACGACCTTAAAATTATTTTCTAACTTTAATTTTCCTTTCTTATTTTATTTCAAAAATTCATTAAAAAATGTTACTTACGTATGATTTGATAAATGCATGGGAGTTTTTCCATTTTCTATATACAAGCATTTAAATTTTTTTATCATTTATTTGTCTTGTAGAATGCTTGATTTCGAGCTCTTAAAAAACTGTATGCAAGAAAGGTGATGCTTAGCTCTCAAGACCCAATAGAGAAATTAACAATGATAAGAGAGAACAACTTCCATGTTTATATTATTCTACATAGGGAAATGCTAATTTAAGGGTCTTGCATGACCAGCAAATCCTTTTACCTAATTTATTGCATATATTCAACCATAGTTAAGAGGTGGATATTTATTTTTCAAAAAATATGTACATATTTTAAAATTATTTTAAAAATAAACCTTCAAGATATATTTCAAAAATATAGACTTTCAATATATATATTTAAAAATTATTTTGAAAATATGTTTAAATTTTAAATATATTAAGATTTATTTTTTAAAAAATAACCATATAAGATTTCTGAAGTTCTTCCACGAAATTTCAAAAGAATAAGGAAACAACATAAGCACACATTTTGCATGAGGGAAGTAGTATACAATGTGCTTCTAGAGAAGCACACTTTGATGGAAGAAAAAAACAAATCGAACAACGAATGGGGCTGAGTCGTGGTAGTAACACCACCTGTGTCTCAGCTACTAGTCTAGATTTCCATTCTCACTGATGCATTCAAAATCTATTAACTATTTCTGAAGCAGGTATGGGCATGTACTCCCCACTAATCGACCCAAAAAAAAACAAAACAAACAAAAACAATATGAACAAAGGTTGGGCAATTAATGAGTTGCTCTTATTCCCTTCATTTTTCTTTGAGAAAATTGCTTATATATCCGTTATATTATGCATTATTACAGATCCACCTTTCAATTTCCATTATTACCTCCATGTCCATTTTTTCACTTTCATAACGAGATTTTTTAAAAAAGACTGTTTTACCCAATTTCGGGTGTTGAACAATCGAAATAAATTTTTTTTTGGTTTTTCAACAACCGAAAACGGGAATAGGTCTTTTAACCTTCCCGCTTAAGTTACAATTGTTCAACAACCAAATTTAGGATTTTCGGGTATTGAAAACCCGAAAATCTAATTTCGGTTTTTCAACACTTTAGTTGGCGCTCTTTTAAAAAAAAACACACAAGACTGTTCTTGGGCTGTTTTGGTCGAAGAACATCCGAAAATACTCCATCTCCCTCATTTCCAATTTTTCTTACATTTTTAACCTAAATAACTATTTAAATTTGGACACTAGCATTTTGACAGAGAAATAACGACATTTGACACATTTTGAGTTCATTTGTTAGGTTCCAAATTTATAGCAAAGGTATGTATGATTTGAGGTTTTTATCATTTTAATTTTGGAATTTTTATAATTGTGAGTTTGTGGTGTTTTTTTAATTTTTGAATGATATACCTGAATTATTGATTTATGTTTGTTTATTATTTATTGTTTAAGAATTTGTAAATTTGGGGTTATTGAGAACTTCAAATTTGGGGGTTTTATTATAAATCGATATCAATAATTGAATATAGTTAAAGGTGTTGTTGTGTCAATGCCTATGACAATATATTTTGATTATTATGAGAGATTTCTATTAATTTTTTAAGCTTTTGGATGTTGTTTGAATCATTTTTCATTTTGGGGATTTCGTTATTCAGTAGTTGAATATGGTTGTGTATTGTGGCTGTATGGAAATGAATCTATATGCCAATTGAAATATGTAGTTGTTATTATGTTTGTGCATTATCTATTGATAACGAATTTGTAAATTTAGGGTTATTAAGAACTTTAAATTTGGGGGTTTTATTATAAATCGATATCAATAATTGAATATAGTTAAATGTGTTATTGTGCTAATGCCTATGATAATATATTGTGATTATTACGAGAGATGTCTATTATTTTTTTAAGCTTTTGGACGTTGTTTATATCCTTTTTCGTTTTGGGGATTTCGTTATTCAGTAGTTGAATATGGTTGTGTATTGTGGCTGTATGGATATGAATCTATATGTAAATTGAAATATATAGATGTTAATATGTTTGTGTATTATCTATTGATTACAAATTTGTAAATTTGGGGTTATTGAGTTTGGGGATTTTATTAGTTGAATAGGTTTGTGTTTTTGTGACTGTACGTAAATGAATCCATTTGTAATTTGAAATGTTTTGTGATTGTATGTAAATGAATCCATCTGTAATTTGAAATATATTACTTAATGTAGCACCCTCTGTTATAATTGAAGATGTATGACTTATGCTATGTAGGACTTGTAATTTCAAATTTAGTAGCTTAATATGGATTTTTATATACTTCTTTGTGTTGTTGGATGTTGTTGTTTGTATTTTGTTATAAATAACATTTGATTTATAATTAAAAACAAAAAACAATAGTTGTTTTTATTTCTTCCCCTTTTAACTAATCTTTTAGTTGTATGAAATGGAGTTATAATGAATGGGTGTGGGTTTTGTAATTCAATATTTCTTATAGCATAAATTTTGACTAGGTATAGAGATGGTACGAAGATGTATAGGTACACTGTCTTGGTTATCATATAAGAACAAAAGTTTTGCCTTTTATACTTCATGCACATTCCATGGTTATTGATATATGATTTACTGATATATGGATTACACACGAGCCCATTCCATTATTAGTGATATATGATTTACTCATATATGGATTACATATGAATTGTAGATGTGTTAGTAATTCCATATATAGTTGGATATATAAATTTATTATCGCATTCTTGTCTTAGAGTAGTAATATACATGAAAATACATAATGGAATTTTAATATGCATAATGAGTTATTGTTGTCTCGATTTCAGTCAATATGAGTAGTGTCCATCCAGAGGGGGGATATCTAGGAGGTTCTCAGGACCCTAGCTTGCTACAGCTTCATCCGAAGCATTCATCATATTACATATGAGCAAGAAAGGTATATGAATATATTCATCTGCTATTTCCATAAGTTTGTTATATTTTAATAAATTTTGTTTGTTTCAATTGTATATGGGAAGTACATGTGTACATATAATGTGACTTGCATGTGTCATATTTGTTATATTTAAGGAAAAACATGAAATTAGAATCGATGAGAAGACATTTCAATTGAACAATTGGTGACTAACTGAAGAACAAGTTCAATTAGTGAACGCGTTTGGGTTAGGTGCTCTGTCTATCGTTCAACCAGGTCGAATTGATCATCCATTGGTTGCTGCCAATGCAGAGAGGTGGCGCTCAGAGACCAATTCCTTCCACTATAAGATTCAAATTGGTAAGATGACACCAAATTTATTTGATGTGTACACGATTTTAGGATTGTTTATGGATGACGAGCCTGTTACATGTTGTCCTATCAGTGATCTACGTAAGTTCATAGAGGACAATTTGGGTATAGTCCCTACTGAAGGCAACTTGACAACCATAAAGCATTTATGGTCGAAGGTTCATTTTTGGGAATTGCCACCTGATGCTTCCCCTGTGCAAATAGTCAGATATATTCGATCCTATTTACTCTTCCTCATTAGTGTTATCATTTTTGCTGATGCATCAGTTGCAACAGTCCCAACAAGGTACCTGCAATTCCTTGAAGATATTGAGCAAGCTAACAAATATGCAAGGGGTGCTGCAGCCCTTGCATATCTATATCGTTCACTTGAAAAAACTTGTACTTTCAAGCGAAGACATTTCAGTGGTTCTGCCACTCTTATGCAAGTAAATTTAATTTTTGTATAAATATAAGCATAATATTTTAGACTACTTTAAAATATTTTATAACTTATCATATCTTGATATAATGCAGTGCTGGTCTTATGAGCATATTATGCATATGAGACCCATACCGCATAATATATCTCCAAATATGGCAAGGGCAAAATGGTAGGAGCCACGCAAGCATTATTATGGCAATCCACACAATTTGATGCCTCCCATTAGACAAGAGTTAGATAATCTCCAACCAAATGAGGCCAGATTGTACTTTGATATTCAATACGTTCAATTATATTATATTATTTGTAATTTTTATATTGACTTATTGTCATATGTGTGATTGCATTTCATATAACAGGTAATATGGAATCCGTACTTCAAGCCTGATGAGGCAAATTTAGGATGATAGGCATGAAGCATTCAAAACTGTAATGTGCGTAACAACTATGATCTTTGATGATATTGCCGAGCCATACATGCCAGATCTTGTTTGCCGCCAATTTGGAGCTAAACAGGGCATTCTAAGAAATCCTTTATCTGTTGGTAAGAGGTCAAGCAGACATGGTGGGCAGCGAGATTGACGAAATGTCGATTCTAATAAGATTCATCATTGGTTATCTCACCATGATCACATGATGACAGATATTGAAGTTGATACTGCGAATGGGTTGCCCTCAAAGGAGTACAAGGCTTGGTACGACCAAGTGTCCCATTCTATCATACGCAATGTCGTTAACCTACCTATTGATATTTTGCAATTTCGTAACCAGGAAGAAGAAGAAGTGGTTCCTGCACGTAAACCACAACATATAATGAGACCTTGAGGTTATGAGGATGATTTGGTATGTATATTTTAACCTACAAATTGCTTTAGTTTTGTATTTGCCAATCAGTTTGTATGTTTATTAACCTACAAAATGTTTTTGCAGGTTAGTGCAGTTTAGGCTAGTACAACCATGTTAACAGAGGCACTTACACTTATACAGAAGTGGTACCCTGAAGTATATAGTCGCGTTAACAACGCGTTTGAAATATTGTCTAAGTTTGTGCCGGTTGACATGGAAGATGTAGAAGCCAGGATGGAATTGTTACTACGTGAAGTTAATGAAGAAGCTATACAAGAAGAGGGTGAACAAGATGTAGTGGGTGAGACTAGTCGGACTGTTGTTGATGACTTGGCTCCATCCACACAACCTGCAATTGAGGAGCGTAGAAGACATAACACAACATAGAAGCAGTATCAGCTGAAGAGAAGGCGACATTCATAATTGTATTTTTTTGGCAATGTAATGGTCATTTTTACCGTTGTAATATTATGAAAAGACAATGTAATGGTCATTGAATACATTTGTATTGTTTCGTAATGATGTTGTAAATGACTCTATCTTTTTGGGAATTATTTATACTTGGTCGTGCTATATATAGGGTGTGGTTTCTATAAGGTTGCAACCTTAAACAATCCAATTAAGGTGCACCTCCTAATTTTATCATAACATGTATTAAAAATGCTTGCGATAAAATGCATCTAAAAATGCACCTCCTAATTTTATCATAACATGTATCTAAAAATCTATTTTCATATCTAATTATAAAATTTTAAACTTTAAAAATATTAAAATCAACTAGATCTATATGGAAATCTTGAATGTTCAAGTAGATCTATAAACATTGGAATACTGTTTTAAATGTTAAAAAATAAATATTCAAGTAGATCTATAAACATAACAGTAAAATACTGTTTAGAATGTTAAAAAATAAAAAAAAATATTTTCTGCTGTAAAATAACCGAAATTGCTCTAATTTCGGTTAACTGAAATTCTGATTTCAGTTGTTCAACAACTGAAATTATAGAAAGTTCGGTTGTTGAACAATTCCAGAAGCTCCTTGGATTTTTACAGTCAGAAATTTGGTTGTTCAACAACCGAAATTATGATTAAACAAAATTGTTCATTTCGATTGTTGAAATCAACATTTCGGTTTTTCAACAACCGAAATCAACATTTCGGTTTTTCAACAACCGAAATCAACATTTCGGTTTTTCAACAACCAAAATCAACATTTCGGCTGTCCAACAACCGAAATCAACATTTCGGTTGTTCAACAACCAAAATTTTGATTCAAAAAAATGGTCATTTCGATTGTTGAAATGAACATTTTTGTTGTTTAACAGCCGAAATAATGATTCAAAAAAATGTTTATTTCGGTTGTTGAACAACCGAAATTCTAGAAATTTAAACAACCGAATTTTTTACTATAAAAATCCAGGGAGCTTCTGGAAGCAATTCGGTTGTTGAACAACCGAAATTGCTAGTATTTCGGTTGTTGAACAACCGAAAGTAGTGAAAGTTCATTTGTTCAACAGTCGAAAATCTTTTTTTTTTCATTTTTTAACATTCTAAATAATATTTTACAATGTTATGTTTAAAGATCTACTTAAACAACCGAAATTCGAAGTTTCTCCGCATACAAGGGGAAGTCATGATATTGTTGTTCATGTGATCCATCTATCATCTCTTTAGCAACCTCTTTTCCCCGTTAAGCTTGCATGTAGGAAAACCTGACGCCATGATCGTGTTGAACATCATTTACAATGTCTTTAGCTTTAATTTTTTGTTGGTCAATAAGTCGGGCTTTAATTTTTTTGGCCACCCAATCACTACGAGCTAGTGGTTGATGGACCTCCCCATTGGACCACTACATGTGTGCTCCTTAACCATAGATTTAACTTTGAAGTAAGTTGTACTGCCAACTTGTAAGCCCCACACTTGCCATGTGCATCCCTCTGCCTTACAACTTGCCCATACCCGTCTCAATTCACTTTTGTCAAACTTCAGAACAAAATTATTGTGAATTGCAAAATCTACAAGATGATGCTGGCATTTTTTGATACTTTCAAAATATTGTCCTCTATTCAATTGAACCTCATTACCAACTCCTTTACATGGGCTTTCTGGTGGTTCAATATCCTCCATATCACGCTCTGGTACAAGCTCAGGGTCAGGCGCCACTTGAATGTTTTGATCTTGGTTAGGTAAAGTGTTACGCTGACTGTTGACAAAAGATATAGTGTAAGATGAAGCAACAATAAAATTTCTATACATAAAAGAATAAATTAGAGCAAATTACAAGTGAAAAATTAAATTATAAATATAACTATTTCTTGAAGATGGACCTTCACCAATAGATTCCCGTTTTGGCTCCATTGTAGATGCAATATATACAATAATTTTCGAAGATTCCCCTCCCAACATAAAAATACATCTACATCATCACTTACATCAATCAAATCAAGCCCACTAGGAAGACTTATGTTGTGGTACATAATAGTTAATTTGTTTGGAGCACACATTGTTAAATTATCAAAATGACTTTTTATTTCCTCCAAAGAACTATTTCCATTATACTTCGTAACCTCTAATTTTCCCCATTTGTAAAAGATACGACCGTCATCTGCATTCGTCTCAAATGACCTCTCATATCGGAATACCAGTTGCACTCCCTTAGTAACTATCGTCAATGCTACTGTATTAAATAAATAGCAAAATTTGTGTCACAATAAATTGATACAATAAAGAATACAAAAATTTTGGATATTTCTAACTACTTTAGGGTTCATAAAAAGTGAGTATTACATAACAAATTCAAATAGTGTACTACTATAAACGGACAAATAATCAATAAACAACAAAAATAACAAATACTTAAACAAACTCCCAATAAACAATAAATATTAACAATATTTACCCAATACAATAAATACAATGTATCAACACAAAATAAACAATACATACTTATACAAACAACAAATAATTATACAAAGAAACACGTTCAGCAATATTTTAACAAATATTACTTATTAATCAACAATACATAAAAATTACAAATACAATAATATGATATTTTATTCTATTCATTGCGAGAAAACTACCAAAAGACAATAAAAAACATAAAGAAGTAAGTACCGTACCAATCACGACCGTGGGCCAATCTTGCGGGATATTGTATTGGGAGAAAGTAAAAAAGGTATGGATCCACTTATGATACTATATTTGCCATTTTTCCCCAACTTTATACCCTAAACAACTTTTCTTACAATAAAAGAGAGCGAAGTATTGGCGCGTACATTTTCGGTTAATCAAAAGCTGAAGTCCAAAAATTTTTGGTTGTTCAAAATCCGAAATCATGTTTTCGGTTTTGAACAGCCGAAAATATAATTTCGGTTGTGAAAACAACGCACTCCACGGTTTCAGATTTTGAACAATCGAAATTCGGTTTTCGGTTTTTGAACAACCGAAATTCAGTTTTCAGGTTCAACACTTGAAAACCCTAATTTCGGTTGTTGAACAACCGTAACTAGAGCACGAAGGTTAAAAGACCTATTGCTGTTTTCGGATGTTGAAAAACCGAAATTTTTTTTATTTCAGTTGTTCAACACCCGAAATTGGGTAAAAATGTATTTTTTTTAAAATCTCGTTATGAAAGTGAAGAAACGGACATGGAGGTAATAACAGAAACTGAAAGGTGGATATGTAATAACGCATAACATAACAAATATATATGTAATTTTCTCTTTTTCTTTTGTTAGTATGCTACTCTAGGAGCATACCATCAAACAAAAAGTATATACTTTTTTTTTTTTTTTTTTTAGAATTTTAGGAACAACTTTAGAAACCAGAGTTAGTTATTTTTTGAGTTATTTACGTATGAACCTTAAATAAGTTAAAAAAATACGAGTTGCTCCCTATATATATGAAAATTACAATCAATGTCAGTTAAGGCGGTTGTTTTTTCCTTAGATTGCAACTTAAGTTTTGAAAACAAAAAGTGGTCCAAGAATGGCATCTTTAGACCGAAACTTAAGTTTTGCAAAAAAAAAAGAAAAAGATATTTGAGAATTTCAATCTCGAACTGCAACTTAAGTTTTGAAAAAAAAAAAAAGTGGTATGAGAATGCCCTCCTCAGGCCGCAACTTAAGTTTAGACAAAAAAAAAGCGGCCCAAGGATGACATTTTCGGACTGAGGGGTAATTTTGTAAAAAAAAAAGAGTCGTGTTGACCGACTTTAATTATAATTTCGGATATAAAGGGAGTAACTCATATTTTTCTAACTTTTTTAAAGTCCGTACGTGAATAACTCTTATTTTTTAAAGCAAAAGTGATCAATGTATTTATTTGAGGGATTATGGGAGCGCACTGTGTACTTTTTTAAGGTTTTGAGATACTTTTATTGGGTTTGGAAGCCCAAGTTCCGAACCCACATATTATCAAAAAGATGGTGAAAGTATATAATGAGACCATTTACCTTTTGTACAAGATAGTCATAATTAATCTATTGGATGTCAAATCGGGTGGCTACATTTATTTTATTGACCGAGCTCAAAGTTAAAAACGAATTTTCTCGAACTTT